TCATCTGGTTTGGGGTTACCGCCGTATAGCTGCAACTCTTTTACAACCAGAGGAGTCGCCCCCTGCTGGTCATTAGAGAGAATACAGCTTTAATGAACTTCTGCATTTGCTTTACATTTCAAACCCAGAAGCTTCAGCCTTCTTTCATCCTGCCCATGTGGTAAATGCAACAATCATTTTTATTCTCTTGAATGCTGTTCAGTTTAAGGTGACCACAAATAGAAGCCAGAAGCTTCTGGGACGCTTCCCTCCAGATTCTCAGTTTCTAGAGACAGACAGCAGCTGATCACACATCTGAAGAAAGATTCTGTCTTTCCATTTGATTTATGGTGTTTCCTTTATTTCTTAAGCTGAGTGTGGTTTTCTCTCTTATTCTCAGAAAGGAGTTCAGAATGTGTTTGAAGAGGCCATCCAGGTGGTGCTGGAGACACTACACAACAAATCCAGTCGCTGTGTCCTTTTATAGACACCACAATAAGAACAAATGAAGTAAAGGGCAGAGGAAGAGAAGCTGGAGATGTACGTGGATGTAGAAAAAAGACTATTAGCCTGGACGAGAAGAGAGAGAGGAAGAACAGACTCACTTTGAAACAGGGCCGTCACAACATTTGTACATTTGTCTGGTGGTTTTATGAATGAGCTCTGTATTTTCATCACTGTGACATGACTGATATGAATAACACTCCTCATAACCCGGAATGGGTGTTTAATAACCACAGAAAGCAAGTTGAGCAATACAAGCTGGAACCTCAGATGTCTTGAATGTACAAATGTGAGTCAAAAAAAACATGTTTAAATAATAAAATCTCATTAAAGTCTGCAGGTTTAGGAACTGAATATTTTCAGGCAAAAAGAGTTGCATGACCAGCCCTCTGCAGAATGACCCATGGGGGTCTAATGCTTGTGGACAGGATACCAGTCCCCTGAACTGGTATCTTGTCCACCATTTGTGCTTATGTTCAAACCACAGTTCAAAGTATCGGGCCTTCTTTGAGTCTCTGGTTGGGGTGCTGGGAGGAAACAGAATTGATGAGGGAACAAGGTCCAAAAATCAAATGAACTCTTTGATTACAGATTTATTATTATTTTTAAATAAAGCAGTTTAAAAATCTACATAGTGTCTGTGGATTTACTTTCACTATCAAGTAACAGAAGCTGGAGCTACTTGCAACAGAAAAGGAAACATTCAGGAAAAATGTTTTTAAAGCCTGCGTTGAGGTAGTGTCACTAAACCTCCAAAGCATCTATAATATTAGTTTCAGCGGTCACAGGGTTTCTTTCAATTAACCAAATTCATCTTAAAGAAAAACTGGGATCGATCAAAGCTGAACTAAACCTTTCCTACAGCAGGAGCTGCAGCACAAGCGTCGGTGCACACAGGAGTTAACAGTATCTTCATTCATATTTCAGAGAAAGTTCAAACTTGATGTCTTCATATGACACAAATCAAGAATTTAAAAAAATAACATCAGACAACAGAAACATGAACATTTCACTCAAAAAACTGGACACAACAGAACATTAAAGCCTTTTTCCTGCAGTCAAACCCTGAACTCTGAGCCTCAATCAAGTAAATGGAGATTGTTTGTTCATTAAAACTAACCCATTCAATTTGGTGCAGCAATTTTTTGTATGAATACTGTTATAAAGGAGCCATCTTTCTCTCATCTTTCTCTCTGCAGACTTCACATCTTTGTTGATGAAGATTTGTCTTAAATTAAAACCTTATAGTTTCATGTTGATTTCTGACAATCAATATAAAACATTAGTTTCAGCTGTAGTTTAATCACAGTAAAAAAAAGCTGACAAATGTTTTTAGTGGTTTTATGTTGATCACAAGCACAAAAAACAGAAAAAGTCATTAACATGTGAATTATTCAGCTTTGTAGTTACCTTTTTGTTGATATTTATTCACCTTCACAATAATTGGAATAAGTAAGCAAAATATTGGTCACTGGTGTCATTAAGTCCCATCTAATTTTTTCAGTATTTTAGTATTAGACAGCAGTGAGGTCTCTTGAGCTGGTTACTCAAAAAAGATCCTGCCTTAGACATGGTTGTTTAAGAAATCATCAGTTCAACAACCTGTTACCAGCTGAAACATTAATCACTGCAGGAATAAATCAATAGAGGGCTTCAAACTCCAAAAATGGGTAAGAATTAATAAATTCTTGGGAGCTTGAGGGTCCTGCGCAGTATCTTAGCTGTTCATATAGGACTGCACTCTTATTGACAGAGATCTCCGATGTTATTCCCGGGATCTGCTGGAGCCACTCGCCTAGTTTGGGTCCTTCTTCCTGATGTTGCTGTCATTGGGAACCGCTACATCGATCACTACGGCCGTCTTCTTTTTTTTATTGTCTATCACCACTATGTCCGGTTGGTTAGCCGACACCATTATGTCTGTCTGTATCTGGAAGTCCCACAGGATCTTAGCTCGGTCATTCTCCACCACCCTTGGGGGC